ATATATGAGAACTTTGTGCACTATCTTCACTTTTCTATAAATCTAAAACTACCAAAATTAAAAGTTTATTTTAAAAAAGCTCAAAGGGAAAAGCAAAGTAAAAACCTACCCACTGAAAAATCAGAAAAGAGAATAGACAGTCTGAAGAATTTAGATGTGAAAGGTTGCCCTCCCACACAGAGAAGAGGAGCTGAGCAGAAATTTGCATAGGGAAGCAATGCATTAGAGATAAAGTAAGAAGATCCAAAAGAAAGGAATAAAAATGACTGTCACATTTTTACAGTAATGAAGAGTAGCTAAGTATCAAGAAATTTATTAGGATACATGGGAAAAGGCCTTTTATAAGATTTAGAAGAAAATGCTCCTAAGAGAAAAAGAATCTCTAAAGGAGGAGAGAAAGCATTCCACATTTCTATTCAATATACTTACATCTTCTAAAACTGATCTGCATAATTTAAGCATCAGTTTTTATTGAAGTGTTTATTTTATACATATTGGAGGCAGTGTCCACACTCAGTGGTCTCATTCCTTTTCAGGCCTACCTATGACATCTAATCATTTCCAGCAAAGTATGCAAGCAGAGAGCAGAAAATAGAAGTTCTTTCCAATTTACATGGAACCACTACTCAAGGCCTCTGTTAGGAATTAGTAAATGAGATACTGTGACAATATTCCTAAACTTATCAATTAAAAAAAAACAATGGCATCAGAAATAGAGCCTTTTGCAAGCTTTGTGCTAGGCCAAAGACGTCTAACATATTAAGTGACCTATGTACCAAGATCAGCTTGAAATCTTGCAACCAACAGAAGCGGCATAGCATTTACTACAGCGTCAACTATAAAACTGTGTGTCAGGATGGCAAACACCATCACCCTTAACTTGCACTGTCAACACCTGATATCTAAAGAAAAATATACTGTTTCTAAACTGAAAATGATCCAGATTACAGTGAAACTGCACTCTCCTCAATACCAATGAGAAACAGTCAGTTTTGATACTACTTGTCACATACAAGCAAGTATCCCAAGTACGTTTTGAAATAGTAATGAACTAAATAAAATGCAATATCATGACAATTATCATAATTCAGAGAACTAGAAAGACTTGTGTCCTTAGCATTAGAGGGGTGAGGTACAGTCAGTCTCAGTCCAATGACCCTGGAAGGCAGCATAAAGCAGTGGAAAGAACACAGGGTTCTGAATCAGACTGACATGGGTTTAAATCCTGCTTTTGTGGCTTGTCATTGTTGACAAAAGAAGGTAACAACTTAACATCTCAAAGTATGTTTCCTCACCAAAAAAGTGAGCAATATTGACCTTCCAGGTCTGATGCAAACATTATTTTGTGAATATTCAGTAATAAAAGCAAACACTTTAGCATTTGTTATACATCAGGCTATTCTGAGTACTTTATATAAATTATTTAATCCTCCTAACAACTCTAGGAGGTATGGAATTATGTTATCCCTATTTTATAAATGGGAAATATGAAGTATGGGCAGATTAAGTAACTCATTCCAGTTCATACAGGTAGGAAGTAGCCAAACTACATTTCAACCCAAGTCTGGCTTTAGTCTTCGATCTAAACCACTACATTATAATATCATTATTAAATCAGCTCCCCTCTAGCCACATTAACTCCTTCATCTTATTAAAATACTGCAAATATTTACTTTTAATAAAAGAGAAAACATATCAATTACCAAGTAACAGTAACAAGAACTATATTGGCAGAATTTACTTATTGCTAATCTTAATTCATCAATAAAAATGGTGAGTGGTTAACGTAGCAACTTGTTCTCCAAGATGCTAAATATGTTAAACATATTTCAATTCACTGAGCAGTTATATGATTTAGAGTTATTCCAAGAAAACCCCCAAGGTAATCTTAACCATAAATAAGGCTAAATAATTCTGCAGTTTTATTGCCAATTAAAAGGCTGCTAAACTCACGTTCCAAATCACAATAAAACCAAAATGTACATGCACATTAACATATAAGCAACAAATTCTTATGACAAACAATAACAACAAAAAGTTCCACACCAGCTAATTATTCTGGAATCTGTGGCACTTTAATAGAGAACTCTGGTTTCACATTATTTCAGAGTCCCTGATACCAGAAAAATATTGCAAGGTCTAAGCCCCAAAGATCATTTCCTCCATCCTCCTCACTAGCACCTTCCCAACAAATAATCACATGACAACATCACTCTGATTCTGACTGTAAAGGTACTAAGTTTTGGAGAAGATAAAGCCCCACTCTAGCAGAAGACAGAGAAAACTTTAATGAATATTATTTTACAGTTCAAGTCCTTCCCAATCATTTTGAGAGAAAATGCTCTTAGCAAAAGCTGTGTAAAACCATGCTTTGTTAATACTTGGCAAATAACTAATGCTTATTAAAACAGCAAACCTTAGTTTGCTATAATTCATCAGTAAATGAATTACCTACAGTTCTCTTTTCTATCCGATTCCTGTCCTACTGTGGTATGTCTTTTTCCTGCACCATCTCTCCCATCTTACAGCTCTTGACGCTCTGCAACTGAAACACCCATGACCCCTTTCACAGTATTAAAACTTGTTAAAACCAAAATAGTCATACCCTCATTTATTTTAAATTGTATATGGCAAAAAGAGCTATACAATTTATCATCTTTCTCCCTTTACTCTCCCTACCCAGTCTCTGCCTCCCTCCCCTCAACAGTACCTAAGGTCACTGCATAGGATCAGGTGGCAACACTTTAGCAACAAACACAGTTCAGACCCTTTAACGCTTTATCATAGATCTTTCATTGTACCATTCAACCGTAATTTCCAAGAAAATACTCAATGCTGCATCTCATAACAGTTTAAACACATTTTTACTACTTAATTGGAGCTAAAAATGGGCTTTGCAGATTCTGGCTAGAAAAGGTTTACATTTTTCAGACAACTAAAATTAGAAGATCATTTTGGTGTGCTAAAGACATGTACCAAATAAAGCAGTCAATTTAACACTAAAAGCCTCCAGCAGGGAGGGCATCGTTCACAACCATCTTTGTATAGCCTTTTTCCACAGATTAAAAGCCTCTTTAGAGTACTGTACTGCATTATCACAGTGACTGCCAGAATCCCAAAATGAGGCAACCAGATGATAAGGAGCAGCGTGTACTTAATATCCCTAATTTGTAAATGATGAGACAGAAAATAGCAACAACTGGTTTCTAAGCCAATGAAAGAGAAATAAATGGCAAAAATGTTGATATCTGGAAATAGTTCTTTCCCATTACTAAAGGGACTATAATGCACATGTGTTTCCAGGGAGTCCTAGGGAGGAGGTGACAGAATAAATGCATGACAGATGCATAACTGGTCTTCTGCAACAAGCTTTCTCCCTCTCTGCAGATCCCTTTTTATTCCACGCCAACCGTTAAACCCAAACTTCAACCTGAAGAGCCAGTAAATGATCAAACTACCTGGAGTTTATACTAAGTCAATAGAGACGGCCATTTTGAAAGGAGAAAAATTTGCTACTCTGATCACATTTTCTGATTTATGACTTTGTCTTTTTTGATGATAGGTGAAGTATAAATAACACAAAGATGAGTGAACAAACACATTTCTAGTCTCTACCATAACTCTGTAACAGGTTAAGAAGGTGAGAGAAATATGTATTCCCCAATCCTAATATTCTAACCATACTCCCCAAAAGTGATAAATATAAATCATAGAGTTGGAAAATTGCCCTCTGGCATTCACAGAGAAGGTTTCCAGGCATCAGAATTTCTCTTAACCTGGTTGAAACGCTATTTCTCCATGCCCACCTGTGCCTCCAACTCAAAAAAAGGCTTCCTTTCTTGTATGGTACGTTTCTGTCCAGTGAATTAATTCTTGCATTCTCATAAGTGATTACACTTATTACATAAGTAATTTAAAAAATGAAATCTAAGCAAGCCAACATTAATTATAGCTCATTAACTTGTTAAAAACAAGGCTTTCATTGATTATGACCAGTAAAGCTGTTACTTTTGTCCTCAGAGAGTCTATATTTCAAGAGTTAAGAAAGGACATTAGTTAAAAGAGAATAGACACCTCTTAGGCACATAATCACCTGCTGGATCCATGTCAGCCTCTAGCCAATAGGTGGCAGGTATTTAGTTATATCCTTCAGAAGTTTAAATTTTATAATATTGTGCTTTTTACATTTTGAGAACAACTCATCATTATTTGGAGGGAAAAAGTCAGCCCTAATATCTCTTTTCTCAAAAAATTAGTATTTATGGAAATCCAGACTCTGTTACACAGTCACTTTCTAAATTATAAGCACCTAACTTAAAACTACTCTTTCCCTAATATCATCAGGTAGCACACTGCTGGCTGCTCTTTTCACTCTCTGCTTAATCTGCATCTCATGCAACTCTGAAGGGCAACTAAGCTGTGCTGGGCCAGCAGTGTCACCTGATGGTTACCAGGCCCTCTGTCATAAATACTGGTATTTTCAAGGTGGACACCCCCTCCAAGCAAGGCACAAAGACCTCAGTAGATGACCTGCCTCACTGCCCCCAAGTTGTAGAGTCCACTAGAGTCCACATGAGCCATGCTCCAGCCCCAACCAGGGCCTCCCAGAAACAACAGAGTAATAATAATAATAGAAATAATAGAATATGATCTTTGAGAGGAGAGGCAGATCCCCAATTTCAGCCAAGGGTAAGAGCCAGAAAAATATGGATTATAGGAAGCTAATAATACTAACATAGGAATATTTAGAAAAGTTTCCCTGGAAGGTAAGTATTTTCATTATACTGTTTTTCAATCTCCAAGTGAATGACGTGCATGTAATTTCCACTCAAACATCTTCAGGAATGTTGAAAGCAAATCACTTCAAGACAATATCTTGGTCTCAATTTACCATAGTCTCCAAATTTCTCTTTAGTAGAAAATGAAATGTTTACACCTTTACTTTCCCCTTTTCCCCTCATTCATTCTCTCTCAACCGTATAAATATATAGTTAATATACCGAGTATGTTAGCAGTACACTGAAGAATTCCTGAGACATCTTCAATTTCCTCTTTGTTGGAATGGTCTGCATAGGAGCATCTGTTAGAGATATTGTGGAAATTCTTTTCTGCATCCCTATAACTAAGAAGAAAACAAAATTAGCATATGGAGAAATTTTTGAAAGCATCTGCAAACGCACTCATACATACGTGCAAGAGTACGTAGTCTCTGCTTTTGGCGTCATTACGTTTTAAAATAACTGAAGCTTCAAGATATAATTTCTGGCATAACCCATCATGAACATCAGCATTAGCAGTGTGGACCTGGAACTTCAGACAATCATTAATAAGCTAACTATGCGTGAAAAAAAAAATGAGGAGAACCAGAAAATATATTAGCTTTGTATAGCTAATGTTTCCTTATCTGAGTGCTTCATCACTGCTGGTCAGCTGTTTCTATAAAGAAGTTGCCTAGGAAAAGAATAATTAACAGGACTAATTTGGTGCACTAGCACTCAATTGTGTTGAAAGTAAACACTCTTAACCTCTATCACAGACAGTGAGGAAGACAGCAGTACGGTGTAAGGATAACAAAGAAGCTAATACAGCATTTCGAGTCTGACAGAATCTGAATCATGGTCTTACTATTTTCTACCTGTGACACTTTGGGCAAGTAACCTAATCTCTGTTGGTCTAACTTTCCTCCTTCATAAAATGGAGATACCACCTAGAGTGCTTGTGAGGACCAAGTGACAAAATGGCTATTTAACAAGACACTGAGTGGAACTTTTCCAGTTGCCTCTGAATTAGAGTTAAGGCACCAAAGCTGAAGACAATAGGGACCAAATGCTCTCCATGCTCCAAAAGAGTAGCCAGGAAAACCAGACATCTCCTTCAGAACTTAAGAAGTGACTAAATAGTTACTGCCACTATCACCCACCACGAGCTTACAGAAGCAAAGGAATAGAAAGAATTCAAAAGGAAATCCTCAGAAGAGTGAGTAATTGGCCTGGGAAGAGAATGTTCTTGTTCTTTTTTCTCTCCCCTACAAGAAAAGGAGAGAAGCCCAGTTGGTGAGAGAGGGGTCCACCACTGCTAGAGATTGGGAGTTGTATATCTCATTCCTCAGTGAACATCTGCTGAGGTAGTGGAATTCCTGATCACCCCTCCGTGCCTGATGGAATAGAGGAAGAAGGTTTCAGAGAGAGTTATTGACAGGGAAAGAAATAGAGCCAATTGGGATTGGCTTACAGTCCCACCATTTGGCAAGGCAAAAAATATGAGTTTCCCATGGGTTAGGGAGATATCGCTAAAGAGAGGTGAGCTCAGGTTGCTGGGTCCTACTGCTTCCCAGTCTAGGGACTACCAGCCAGGGGCAGAGATCCCACTAGCAAGACTATGGAGAGCAATCCTCAGGGCCAGGAGCGGGGACATCTGAAGCAGTCATGGCAGAACCCATACATGTACCTCCCTGAGGGCCTTGCAGCCAAGAGAGGACTATTACAACCAACAGTAAATTAAAAAAAGCTTCTGCCATTTTCCATTTTATTCCTGCCTAATACAACACATCAGAAGAAAAAGAGACTCAGAGAGGAGTGGCCTGGAGAAAAGGAATGAAAAACCACACCACACCCTGTCTACAATGCATTCCAAGCTCCTCAGGCCAACGCCTGACCCAGGCAGAAAGGAATATAATACTGAGATTGGATATGAGATTGAAGATTTGGATTGGTCTGGAATGCACTTTACACTCCCTGAAAGTCTTTGGAAACAAAACAATCTACCCAAGCTATTATCAAAGGGGACTCAACTCAGCAATTTTGAAATTATTGGAGAGAAAAAGTAAAATGATTTCATGTTTGTACCCTCACTGAGACCAGACTTCAATAAACCAGTTAGGCAAGATGCTTACTACAGTTTCCAGAATGCAGGAATCACTAATAAAAGGTAGAATGGGGAGCACAGTTGTGAAACACAGACAAACACAGGGTTATTTTTAAATCAAGCTCCATCACTTTAATCAGAGTGAACTTAGATCAAATATTTTTTCTCTCAGCCTCAATTTTCTCATCTGTAAAACGAGCTTAACACAATGATCCTATGAAATAGACAGTTAGGATTAAATAAAATAACAGATGTAAAGTGCCCAGTGTATTGCCTCAAACACAGGAAGCAATCAATAGATATTAGCTTTCGTCTAACTTGTTTTTATTCAACAACATAGGTAGTTATTCTACATAAATATACAAAAGTGAAGCTGGATCACTTTTTAGATAAGATAATTTATAACCACAAAATCTGACCATGAAAGCATAAGTAATATCATTGAAGTTTGTTTCCCGGAATAATCAGGGCTCACCCACTGCTAATTTTACTTCTAATGTTCTATTGAAATTATTCTAGCTTAATCCCTATTCAATTGTCAAAAGAAAAAGGGAACAGAAGGTTGGCTGTATAAAACAAACATAGGGCCCACAGTGATAATTGGAGTAATAGAATTTAATTTTAGATGACTATAGGAAATGGCGTCTCAGACTAAAATGAGGTTGGCAGCAGTCCTACCCATGATATTAGCACAACAATGCTTATTCTGGCAAAAGGTAAAAAATGAATAGCATGATTTGAAATACATGTTTCCTTACAAAATATATAATGAATGAACATTACATCTCAGAAAGATTTTCATGTGTCTTCCAATCCTAGTTTTAAAGAAATCTCTGCTTTTTCGGCACTGCTGCAGGAATTCATTTTTGTGAGCTATAGACCAGTAGGAGTCGTGTAGTATAAACATGAGTGAGAGCAGTTGGCTTAGGCACTCTGGAGGCAGAAATGTAGATGTAAAAAAATCCAAACTCTCTGTAAGAAGAAAGCTGTAGCTGGAACATGAACTGGGCATGTTTAGCTCCTGATACTAAACAACCAATTCCAAACTTGTAAAGGCTCAAGGAGGACAGGGAAAGGATACAGCTGGAGGATAAAGGGAAAGACAATCAGCAAAAACTGAGATGCAGTAGAGTCTGATTCTAATAATGATAATAATAATTCAACGAATGTATTGATTGTCTTCATGTACCAGGCACTGTGCTAACTACTTTATATGATTCTATGACTTAACACATTATCATCATTAATATTTCATTAAAACTTCACCCCAACCCCGCTATTATTCTCATTTTAACAATGAGAAAACTGAGGCTCAGGGAGATTAAGTAATCTGTCCAAGATCATTCAAAGGCAGAATCCGACTTTAAGTCCAGTAGAGCTGATATGTCTACTTCCACAGCACATTTTCTCAATCTCCTGCTCTACACTATATGACAAAGATGCATAGAGAGGGGAGGACACACGATAACAGCAAGAAAGACATCAGAAAAAAAGTCATCACAAATAAGATTTTCCTCAATCCTGAGTTCCTTTTAATTTCTAAGGTGAATCCTGCCTGCCTCCTAGTTGCCCTTTCTGCTTCTCACTATTCTTTCCACTCTACATGGCCCAAAAAGCTAGTCCATTGCCTAGAAGCTTCAGTTAAAGAGAGACAGCAGAACATAAAGATGTACACTGATAGCCTGTTTTTTCATTTTATCTTGAGTGAAAAAGACTGGGCTATGTGAACAAGAAGCTATCCAAGTAGGCATACTTGTGTAGAATTTATATAGTAATGAAAATCTATCACAAAGTCAATCTGACACAGTGGCAGAACATTAAGCAAAAATGGGAAACTACGCAAATAAATCAGTATAATTTATACTATAAGGAAAAGGGTCTTGGATAGCAGAACTAAAGATTTTAGAACTGTAATGGACCCTGGAGATTATTTCAATCCCTCATTTTATACTCCCCTCCCAAGCACAACTTATTCTTTTATCCGCTATAAACATACCTCTGTGTACATTCCTCTAGAGTGCAACTTACTCATTTATTCACACTTCCCTCTCCAAAAAAATTATTAGTCCCTCTTAAGTACCAACCATTTATAAAGGCACAGGAATATGGAAGTAAATAAGATAAATAGCCAAAAGAAGAAAACAAACAAAACAATATAGGCTAATGATAAACTCTTTGAAAAGAAATAATAAAAAGTGATTGGGGTTGGAGATTAAGGTAAGGGATGGAGGGCCACTTTAGATTGGGTGGTCAGAGCAGGTGGGCCTTTCTGAAGAGAGGACATTTTAAAAGACACCTAAATGTATAAAAGAATAATCCATGCAAACATCTGGGGACAGAGCATTCCAGGAAAATGGAAGAGTACATTCAAAGGCCTTGAGGCTAAGCAAGCTTGGTACAGTTGAGAAACCAACAGGTGGCTGGAGTGGCTGCAGGGGAGTGAAAAGGAAGAGTGGAAGAGGATGAAATCAGGCCAGACCACAGGGAGATTCAAATTTTATTCCATCTGATAGGTCATTATATGGTTTAAAACAGGGGTTCCAAAGTGTGATACCTGGGCCAGTAGCACCAGTATCATCTGGGAACTTGTTAGAAATGCCAATTCTTGAGCCCCACCCAGACAAACGTGATCAGAAACTCTGGGTGTAGGACCCAGCAATTTGTATTTTAACAAGCTGGCCAGGTGATTCGGATGCACATTAACATTTGAGAACCATTGGTTTAAAGTAAGAAAGTGGCATGATCTAATCTCTAATCACTTCGCTGTCGTGAAAATATAATGTTGAGGGGCAAGAGTAGAAGCCTGAAAACTAGATCAAATCGCTAGGTGAGAGACAATGGTGACAGTGAAGATGAACAGAAGATTTATCACACTGCATGAATAAATTATTGTAGCACTCATTTTCACAACTTGTATGATCTCAATGAATAAATAAATGAACAACTGAATGGATAGGTTAAAGAATAGAATAAATGTTTAAAAACAAAGTTGCTGGGGCTGGCCCCGTGGCCGAGTGGTTAAGTTCGCGCGCTCCACTGCAGGTGGCCCAGTGTTTCGTTGGTTCGAATCCTGGGTGCGGACATGGCACTGCTCATCAGACCACGCTGAGGCAGCGTCCCACATGCCACAACTAGAAGGACCCACAACAAAGAATATACAACTATGTACTGGGGGGCTTTGGGGAGAAAAAGGAAAAAAAAATAAAAAAAAATAATAAAAATAAAAAAAAATAAAATAAAAACAAAGTTGCTGAGGTACGGAGAGGCTATCATACTCCCTAACAAGAAGCTCCATCGGCTTCTCCCTCTCAATCCCCCATCTGTGTGATCCTTTGAATAGCTGCTCCCTGCATTCAAGTCTAGGGCTTGGAGACTAAAAAAGCCTAGGAGAGTTCCTATGGGCTATGGGTATAAGAATTCATCAAGGAGCAAAACTTCACAATCCGAGAGCTCTGATAAATGACACAGATCCAAGGGCAGAGTTTTAAAGCAGAGGTAAGGGAGGATGAGTAGGTTAGTGGTTGGAGGCTGAACCAAGAAATTAAGAAGAGAAGGGCTAGCTTGTCTTCTCGGTTATCCTTCCTGATTCTTCATCCCAATCCAAGGCACCTAAAAGCTGAATTATCTCAAGACAAGCTTTAGGCAAAGCCCAATTTCAGGGATTACAAAAAGCATCTTTCCCACCCTTACTTCCCCAGAAATATGCAAATAATACTTGCCAGCACTTATTCTCAATTGCCTGAAATCCCTTGAACTGTAAGAAACACATTGCTTTCACAGTTAGAGAAAAAAATGCCTTAAATTGTGTTTTTCAAGAGGAACAACACATACGTGTGAATACATTTTAATCCAAGTGTTAGTGATAATAGATTCTCTCCTTTTTCAGTATTGAAAACAGAAATAGAAAGCAGAAAGATGGAGTCTAAAAGGCAAAAGAGAAAGTGGACAGGCAAGTTACGACTGAGGGAAGAGAGAGGCAAAGTCAAGAAAGGCAAAAGTGACAATGTTGCTGCCAACTCGCCCTTTTGGTCTTCATCAGCATGAGTATAAACAGAGGCAATGAGCAAAGGTACTTCAAGTCCTCAGAAGTCAGCCAATAGCCAAGTGAAAATATGCTAATAGGTCTATTTGGAACCAGTCGGACATCAAGACCCCTCTTTATATTGGAGTTGCATTCCCTGTCTGTTTTCTTTATGCTATGCCTGCAATAAACAGAACTAGAAAAGACCATTTAGGCAATGAAAAAAGAATCTCCACAGCTATGTCTACAAAGATGGAGAGGAGAGTTGAGGTAGTAATTTAGATAAAAGAGAACTCCATCTTACTAACAGAAAAAAGAATTTTCTGCTGATTATGGTAATATAGTTTAGTTATCTATTTTGATCACATTTACAAGACTCCCACTCCAATTTGCCATGAAGACATACTTTAGTTCACAGATGAGACTATTTCATCAGTCATCTGATTTCAAAACAGAGAGGGCATTCACAATTCCATAAAATGATTTGCATTTGATTACTGGTATTATCATTAAAATATTAATAACAATGATAACAAACATAACAGAAAATAATTATGTAGTGCTTACCACATGCCAGGAACTGTTCTAAGTATATTGACTAATTTAATCCAAATATCATACTTTGAAAGTAGCAAATTCAGTGAGAGTGATTAAGTTTTATTTTAGAATATGTGGGGAGAGATTAATTTGACATTCTTTATCTCCGTTAGGATAAACCATTTAAAATCACTAATGGCCTCAAACTAAAAACCATCTCATGAGTTTAAATAATATGTTTTTCCTAGTACTGCACTCTTGAGGATTGATATGACAAAGTTTCAAACCAATTCCCTTTTAAATGACAATTAACATAATCATCAAGCACTTAAAGTATATGGCATTATACTAGGTACAGAGATTATTTTTCCATGAAGTTTTCTTCCCTTCTGTTCTGAAAAAAAAAAAGCACACCACACCCTAATAGCTGAAAGTATATTCTTGATCCCCATGGCAATGATTATTAGCCATAAATGTTAAATGATTCTACAATGTATTTAAAGAGGTACTAGGGTTTAAATCTTGATTCCTCAAAAAGTTCTTAAAATCTTACAAACATAAATCATTGCAGCACTTAGAGAATATTAGCAATGTGAATTAAAAATACGCATTGCCTCTGATGTCAATGAATTTAATTTAAATAGCTAGATTGCATCAGAAAGTGAAATTAGGCCTCTGTGTTTGCCAATTGCTTTCTGCCATAGCCAATCAAAGGTATACCTTACACTTACTTGGAGCTTTCTGTTTACAAAATACTTTCATTGAAATGATTTCATTGAATCATGACATCTAATCCTTGATTTAGTTATTATTATCATCACCCTTTACAAAAGGAGATAAATTTACATAGAGGTCTATGTGCTGGTGAGCCTTGAATTCCTATCTTTTGACCTCAAGTCGTCTTACTTTACACTATATCACAACCACTTATATAAAAATATGAAGCATGTGACTCTAGCTAAACTGGTACCTCTCACTGCACTGTGTTAAGCTTGTAGTGATTTTGATTAAACTTTACTGAAGGAGTCTAAAAATCCCGTTTAAAGCCTTTCAGTTAGTACCAATAAACCTTACCATAGTACTAAGGCAAACTATGAGATTCAGTGGATTAGACTGAGAGGGTAAGAGCACAAGAAGAAGAAAAAAAAAGAACACAAAACCAATGGAATTTCATTTAAAGGGACTGAGGGCAAATAAGCCAAAGGAAATCATTTCAAGGGGCCCCCATGAGCCCCAACTCCACACTGAGAGCATAGCCACTTTGAAATAAGGTTGACCTGGGTGGCAGAAAACCACATGCTCAACAGCCATGTTTGAGTAATCATCTTTAATTTGCCCCCAATAATAACCAAAATTCATTTTTACTTACCCAATAACTTGGTGCTCATAATACTGCAATGTCCTCTTGAGAGTTTGCTGTATCATCTGAGGCTACAGAATAATAATAACAATAAAAATACATTATCAGCAAATCAGTTCCATTCCCATTCTGAGCATCATAGGCAGATATGTAGCTTCTGGTTTATCTCATAAGAGTTTTCGCTTTACAATATTAACCCATTATGCATTTTGCCATGTATTTTCCCCACAGGAACTAATATGAAGCGCTCAGCAATTACCCCGAATTTTCCAATTTCAAGTATGATAGCATTTCCTAACCATATTTTTCCCAAGTCTGTTGTACCAGCTATTATGTTCAATGAAACACTCATCGGCTGCCCACAATAAACCTAGGCCTTGGGGGCATTGGAGAGGAGACGTACTGAAAAAACATGGGTTACGCCCAGGTCAAGCCTGACTTCCTTAGGAGATTTCAGACAAGGGTCCTGGAGCCTCCTAGAGTGGCCACAAGTGCTTTGGGAAAGAAATGGGGTTTGCAGCAAATAATACCTAAGCAGCTCATGACCAAATTTTATAATCCTCTCTTCTTCATGACAGCTGAAGATAGAGCTTCTTAATCTCACACCAAGAAATTATTCTTAGACTTATTTAGGCATCAGAGCCTGAACTTAGAGTTTCATACCCAGGGAGCCGTGAAAGCGACACAAAGATCCCAGAACATAGATTTTATTAACAAGTTATGATAAGAACCAAATTCTCAGTGGCAAGAGTATGAATTTTTAAAATAAGAAAAATTTATTTTAGTCAATGAAGCAGGAAAAAAATTATAAAAGGCTTATCAAAATATTGATTCATTAGAGCCATGGATGAATTTTAGGGGAATATAATGACTCTTAACACAGACTCTTCAAGACGCAAGCCAGCAGGGTAGTTTGGTAATCTCATGGTCTGCCACTAATTAACTACACGAACCTAAATAAGTCTTAAAAGATAATCTGCAGAAAGGATCTAGCACAGTGCTGGTACCTAAGAAGCAGTTAATAAATATCACAGTTTATTTCCCATCCCTATTCCTTCAGAATGATGGTCTTAAATATATATAATTTAAAGGAGACTCCACAGGTCCTTGTCAAGGTGCACTTGAACCCCTTTCATGTTCAGCTCTTTATGAAAACATCCAGAATAGATGTAATAATCTCCCTACCTAACACTATTCAAAGTTTCCACATCCTCCTTGCTAGGAAATGGTTATTTTAAAGATAGAGTAATGTGAGCTTCATTTAAATCACAGGCATCCGTTGAGATCTATCCTACAATACCATTTAGGAGAACCCTTCCACTGAGCAAATCTAAGGCCTCAGACATATTCCTCACTTTAGCCAAGCCAATTCAGAAATTAATTTTCAGAGGCGTCAGCCGCCAAGTGTTCAAAGAAAGAGGTACAGGGCCACTTCTTTCAATAGCTGTTTTTCAATTATAGCAGGTTAAAAAGACAAACACGAGGCCTCAAACTGGCACAGATGTTTCTGCTCATCAGGATAGAATCACCGCAGAGCAAACAGAATCTACCTAGGAAAGAAAAATCGTTCCTGAATCAAGAAGCAATAGAGCTGTTGAGAAATCTAAAGAGGACGAGGCATACACAGCAATCCTAGTGCACTTGAAGTGGGCTTGAAAAAACTGACCCACGGCCAACCTAAACCAAGTCATTATCAGTCACTGGCTCAGGACCCCTGGGATCTGGGCCTCTTGCACTGGCTTGGCAGTTTCCGAGCTAAGATAACTTTCTCTCTGGCAACATGCCCTAAAAGCAGAGAATATCCACAGAGGGATTATCCTTCCAATAACCTCTGGTCACAAAACATGGAACAGAAAGCAGGCACTAGAGTGCACAGGGTCAGTTAAGACCAGAATGAGCTCATTTGTACAAAAGGACATTTTTCTCCTGTACCAAGAATTTCCCAGTCATTAAAAAGCACATGTTTTTGAAAGGAGTTAAGCCTTTTAAAGCGCTTTTTCTTTTGTGAAGCAATTACTTTTACTCCCCAGCAGGAGTTAAATGTATAGTTTCCAAATACATTAAAAGAAAAATGCTCTCCCGGCATGTTCAACAAAGTTTCAACTTGGTACAGCATCCATATACTTCCTGTTGTTTGCCAAAGCCAGTGGGCACATTCTGACGGTCTGAACTGCCAGCATAGAGGCTGACTGCAGAGCATCTCCTGATCTTCAGCGAGCCATGACTAGTCTGACTTCAACAAAGACCTGACTCCTCAGCATGTCTTATCACTACAGATTCATTCGAATCCTCTTCAGAGTTTGTCCGATTGTGAGACATCTTCACATAATTTCAAGGTCTCTCTGACCTGAATAAAAATCCTGAAGTAAAGATCCACATGTGGACCAAAGCCTTCTGTAGGGGTGACTTCTGTCTGGAAGGTCTTAGGGTCCACTTACTAAGTGTCCGTGTATGCCAGTGATGAAGTCAGTGTAGACTAGTGGGAAAGCACAGGCTTTGAAGACAGGCAGATCCTCTCTCTTCTTCTCTGAGAATGCAACTCCGTATCAGTGTCCTACTCAACAGTTCCATCCCACCTTCTACAGGCCAAGTTTCCATTCCTCTTATCTGTATCTGCCCTTTCATTTAAGAAGTTTAAAAAGATGATTTAGAAAAGAGGATTTAAGATCAAACTGAGTTCAAAATCCAGCTCTGTGACTCACTAGCTAGATAACTTTGGGCAGTTTACTTAAGCTGCCTGAAATGATTCCCTATGTATAAATTATTTTTACGGCAATTAATTGAAATAATCAAAGTCAAATCTGTGGTGCACAGTAGGTGCATAATAAATGATAGTTATGACCATGCTCAGCTGAAAAACATGGTTCCTACCCTCAAGAGTCTCAGAATCTCGTGGAGGAACACAAGGTGTATGTTAGAACACCCACCCCACAAGTGTACTGTCGCAAGATCCTCATCACTAAAATCTCAATAGACCTACCACTAGTGCTAACAACAAGAAGATGGTGCCAATTCCAGTAGACAGAGGGAAAAAATAGGAAAATGACAGCTGAATTTATAAATATTTCCAATGAAAACTTTAGATCAGTCCAGAGAGATGGTGACAAAAGCAGAATTCTCAAAATTAAAATTGAAAATAGACCTAAAGCCAGGCCTACAAGTGGGAAAGACATTGAAGCACCATAGCTAAGATCAGGACCCCAGGCATTATGCTTTACAATAATAAGAAACAACCCATGAACCTCCTTTGTCGGACACAAAGAATGTTCAACAGAAGAGCTGAGTGGCCTAATAATTTTATAGCCATACACTAGAGGATCTGAGAGACAAGGGTGAAGAAGGAGATAAAATCCACTGTTCTTATCATAAAAAGGAAATCAAAGGGGTCTGTGATTTTTCTCTGCTTCCCCCAAACTAAGATATAGATAGTGGCTTTCCATTTTCCTTACTCAACGCAAACACGCAATGGATAGGAAAACATCTGGAAAGAGAAAGCTGCCGTCTATGTTCCGCCCAAGTATTGTCTGGGACACAAACAGAAGGTGCTCAAAAGCTTCCATCATGTGGCAACAAGAAGCCATCTTCATCTCTAGTGTCATTAACAGCTTCACTCTACTTGGCCGGCAGTGAATGACCCCCATGGACTAAATGTTATGCTCATGAAAGGTCATGGGATCCAAACAACCAGCCATGAAACAGTCCCAACAGAGCCAAAGAAATGATCCCTGAGGAGTGGGAGGAAGCAGTTCCCAGCAGCTGGCCCTGCAAGCTCAGACAGCCCTGCGGAGGCTCCCACACAGTCCCTGCTCTGGATATCCGCACCAGATGGTGCCGGGATCAGGCAGGAGGAGAGGAGTCAAGATGGTGTGTGTGTGTGTCGCATGAAACATGGTTGTCATGGTACAAAGTACACATTCATCTCAATTTTACAGAGATGAGGGAGTTGAGACTCAGATTAGTTAAGTAAGTACTCCAAGATCACACAGCTAGGAAGTGAATAAGTCAACGCAAGCCAGGACTGGCTTCGAAGTGAACGCTTGTTCTACCAGATGCTTTGAGGGTCCCTCTGCCCTTTAACATTCTGTGATTCTATATTCTTTTTTAACATATACAGCATTTCATCATGCCACAAACAAACAAAAATCCACAGATAATTTAAAAACAAACTTCTCATTTCTGCCTTAAAATACATACCCATAAGCTACAGAATTAATAGAAACAATAGGCCTGCCTTTAAAGAAACATCCATATATATCCATGTCATTTTATTTATTGAAATATGAGAAAATTACACATCAATGTCAGCAACTAAATAATATGGATATATATTTAATTACTAATGTTCAAAGCCAGTGGTTTTCAACTGTCTGCACATTAAAATCACCCAGGGAGCTTTTAAAAAATACTAATGCCTGAGCACCACCCCCAAATTTTCCAAGTCAACTGGTTTGGGAGACCCAGTTGCTTCTAATATGTAGTCAGGGTTGAAAACCTTTCATTTCAGATATAAACATGATGATCAAGACTCTATAAACCTTACCTGAATAAGTTGGCATTAGTGAGAGTAGTTTCTTTATTCAAATATCAAATAACCTACTGAGAAAAGCTGCTAAATTCAACACAGTTCCATATTTTAACTGTCACTAATGGCTTATAATCAAACATGAATTTGTTGGACAAACAAATAACTATATTGCTTGAGGCATAAATATAGGAACTTTTTTTAATTTCCAAGTAATTCACTCCTATGCACTTACATCAGCATTCAATTTTGTTCTGACACCTACATAACAATACAGCAGCTAGTAGGGTTGTCGTGCTTAGTTTACGCAAGGAAGCCCATTACATATATGAACTCCTTTGAATTTCACATCTACATTACGAGGCAGGTGTCACTATTTTACAGATAAGAAAACTGAGACACAGAAGTTCAAGTTGGCGTGTGTCACACAAGTAAAAAAGACAAACTCAGGTAATCTGAAACTCAGGTAATCTCTTCTAGAATACAAGCACGTAATCTCCCACCCATACTGCACATAATCTTCAACACTTAGTACTTGGTTGAGCCCTT